TGCAGAAATAACTGGAACAACAATTCAATGTCTCTCTCTCTCTCTAAAATCAATCAATAAAAATACATTTAAAAATAATTTAAGCCGAAACCGGTTTGGCTCAGTGGATAGAGCGTCAGTCTGCAGACTGAAAGGTCCCGGGTTTGATTCTGGTCAAGGGCATGTACCTCAGTTGTGGGCACATCCCCAGTGGAAGGTGTGCAGGAGGCAGCTGATCGATGTTTCTAACTCTCTATCCCTCTCTCTTCCTCTCTGTAAAAAATCAATAAGATATATATTTTTTAAAATAATAATTTAAAAGAACAATGCAAGTTGCCATTAAGTGGGGGTAATGCCTACTTTTTGTTTTGCATGAAAGCACTGTTTAGGAATATATTTAAATGTAGTTATCTATGCATAGATTATATCTTATTATTTTTAAATATATTTTATTGATTTTTTACAGAGAGGACGGGAGAGGGATAGAGAGTTAGAAACATCGATGAGAGAGAAACATGGGCCAGCTGTCTTCTGCACATCCCATGGATATGTCCGCAACCAATGTACAATACATGCTTCTGACCAGAATCGAACCTGGAACCTTTCAGTCCGCAGACCGATGCTCTACCACTGAGCCAAACCGGTTTCGGCATATAGATTATATCTTAAAAGTCACCAATAGAAATTACCAATAGTGGTTACTCCCAGGAATGAAAATGGTGACTAAGGAAATCAGGAACAGGAACACAACTTTTCACGGTACACATTCCCCTTTAAACCTTTTGAATTTTGAACCACATGCGAGTGCTACCTTTTTCAATAGGTACATCTAAATTTAAGAATATATCATGGGAATTGAACCAGATGCAATGGTTAGGTGATTCAAGGTGAAACATTTCAGAGATAGGATGCAGCAGAAGAGAAAAGTAAAAAATATTACAAAGTTTCTGTCAGACTCCAGAATTCCAGGTGGTGCTTCAGAGCCTGAAGTAAATATTCCTCAAGACCATCCCATTTCTTTCTGTTTAATCTCTGCTCATTGTACAGCTCTCAATTTTTTACAAGCCTTGATATTGAGAAAGGAGTGTCCCAAGAGCAACACAAGTATTCAGGTCATCAGAAAGGTAGATCCTTTCATGGTCAATAAGATAGTGTCTAATTTAGACCAGTCTCTGAAGAGGTCAATAAAGAGTTATTTCTGGCTCACTGATAAAACATGAAACTGCAGAGCTAAAGACTACACCTTGGACCAGTAAGACTCCACCAAGGGTGTATGCAAAAATAGGACCCAGCCTTAACTAGGCAGAGTTATCATTGACATGCCTGGAATTTTCTATATATTTGTCCTCTGTTCTACCACTACTGCTTAGGTCAATCCGAAAAAACTTAACCTAAAGGTCACAATAACTTGAAGATTTGGGATGGTGAGGACACCACCTCTTTGGATCTATAGGGAGTCACAATATATATATTTTTTAAGGCAGTGCCAAGTCAGCTTCCTTTCTCACTGTGCCTTAGAGGAACCAGAAACTGGTGAGTCTTGTGCTCAAGAGATTTTTAAAAAATGCAGGACTAACAAAAACGTGTATTACATAAAGAGAACACATTTTCTACTGTTTAAATTATATATCTAAAGATAACATTCTTAAATAAGTATAAGGTTTTAAAAAGGAGATTCATTGCCAAAGAGTTATTATTTTTGGACATTGCAAAAATACCTGCTCACAGGTCTGCAGTCCAGGGATACCTGGATTAGCAATCACTCACTGATTTTTAATATATTTTATTGATTTTTTACAGAGAGGAAGGGAGAGAGACAGAGAGCTAGAAATGTCGATGAGAGAGAAACATCGACCAGCTGCCTCTTGCACACTCCCTACCGGGGATGTGCCTGCAACCAAGGTACATGCCCTTGACCGGAATCGAACCCGGGACCTTTCAGTCCGCAGACGGACGCTCTACGGCTGAGCCAAACCGGTTTCGGCCACTCACTGATTTTTAATTGGATAAACCATAAATCTTTGAGGACCCATTAGCTCTCAATTTCCTAAGGAAGAAAGGACACAGAGATAAGCTCACATCCAAGGCTCATTTTAGCCAACAGTTTTTAAATTCCTCTTCCCACTCAGCTAACAGGCAACATAACCTAGTGATTGCAAATCTTTCTTTCCACCATTTGACAGCTGTTCACATGATCATTATAACAACCAAAACCAGGAAAAAGGAAGAGGAAAATGAGTGAGAGGGGCTGAAATAGTGGAGGGTTTAGATAATTCATAAGCTGAGTAAACTGAGGCCTGGCCATAAACAAATGTCTCATTTAACTGAATTGAAAGATGACTGACATCTTGCCATCTCAATTTTAATATAATGGCCACGTCACTGAAGCCACCAAGCCAAACTGTTAAACTAACTTGTGAAAAGAAATAGTTTTATGAACCTGAATTCTACCATCAACACCAGTTAATAAGGTTTACAAGCCATCATTTACTAGTTCTCATTAAGAATTAACTAATGTTTCATTACCTGATCCCCAGTTAATGCTACTGATAAAGAGCAAAGGAAAATTTGGAGAAGTGATAAATCAACCTCTTTCTTCCATATGCTCTGTTTTATTGGAATATGAGTAAGAACAAGAGTGGTATGATGGGGAAGTGGGGAGTCAATAGGGAGAAAAGGGGGACATCTGTAATACTTTCCTTTTTTTCTTTCTTTTTTTTAATATATTTTATTGATTTTTCACAGAGAGGAAGAGAGAGGGATAGAGAGTTAGAAACATCGATGAGAGAGAATCATCGATCAGCTGCCTCTCCCGCAACCAAGGTACATGCCCTCGACCGGAATCGAACTCGGTACCTTTCAGTCCGCAGGCTCTATCCACTGAGCCAAACCGGTCCCGGCTGTAATACTTTCAACAAAAAAGACAAATTAAAAAAAAAAACTTCAATAAATAACTTTATAAAAGTTCCTTAAAAAAAAAAAAAGAGTAGTACATTGGAGGGTGAGGGCATGTATGGGAGTGGGAAGGCAATGGTAAGATATGTACACATATAATACCTTAATACAAAAATAAAAAATAAATAAAAAAGAGTAGTATGACAAATGGGGGGTGGGGCGTTACTAATCATCAACAGCATCTGACTCCCCAAATGTAGCAGGCTCACTCCACTGGGTTGCTTCACTGTGACTCGAGATCTGTCAACCAAGGACAGAGGGGAATTTGAATAAAATCAAGAGGTACACTCCCAAATTTTAAACAGAATCTTCTAATAGATTTAGGACAAAATCTAGCAAGAGTCAACTTTAAGAAATTAACCTACTCAACATAAACTGATTCTAAAGTGCTTTTGAAAATGAATTCTTGCTAATGCAAAAATTCAGAAGAAGTCTGGGGACCTGCTTTCCTAATGACATATTTATCTATTGGTAGAGGACACTAAAATATATTACTGCTAGTAGTGTGTCTAGCAGTATCAATGTGTCATCTCCCTGTTCTCCTCACATAACCTTATTTTTCTAAAATACAAGGTAATTAGCTCAGCTGGCGTGGTTCAGGAGGTCACAGTTAGATTCCCGGTCAGGGGTCAGGGGTCAGAGATCAGGGCACAAACTTGAGTTTTGGCTAAACCCCCATCTCCCCATCGGGGAGCGTGTGGGAGGCAGCCAATCAGTGCTTCTCTCTTATCGTTGATGTTTCTATCTCTCTCTTCCTCTCTGAAATCAATAAAAATGTATTTTAAAAATAAATAAATAAATAAATAAAACAAAAGGTAATTAGTGAAAGCATCAATTATGCATACACTTCCCTTGTCAATATTGATCAATACAAATACACTTGAATACTTCTTGTATACTGTATGCCCAATATGTTAGATGGCAAATCCACTGCACGGTGAACAGAAGTAAATTAACAATAGTTCCCAAAATACAACTCTATTTCTCCCCCTACCAAAGAAAACATTTTCCCCAGCTCCTCTAATTATATTCCAAATAATTCAGAAAGATAACAAGGAAACAAATGTATCTGTACATTTCAAGTGCAAACATTTCACTAATAACCATGCTTTTTATCATACTGATTTTTAATTGGATCAAACCAGGAGTCTTTGAGGACACTGAAAACAAAGACCAAACGGCTCTGCCAATTTATAATGATCATGTTTCACCTTTGGAAGGGTGATCACCATGGAAGCAACAAACTCAATGCATCCCGTGCTTCCTTCTCTCCAGTGATCGGATCCTGCACGAAGGCCACAATCCCCTGGCTTCTGCAACCACATACACATTAGGCCTCAAACGCACTCCAGGGCCAGGGCCAGGCTGCCTAGAAATCCGCACTGTGTCACTGCGTAAGGCAGCTCCCCACGGCACACATCCAGGAGGAGAGCTACCTAAGCACGGTCAGACCTCAGCCGGCCTCAGCCGGCCGGTGAAATGACAGAAGGAACTGTTAACCAAGTAGGCCGGAAGCAACCATCATCACCTTTAAAAAATCATTGAAGCACTTTTCCTCCCCATCCTCACCTCACTTTCCTCCTCTCTCCCCCTCCCTCCCCCTTTCTCTCCTTCCCCTCTCCCCTCTCTGTCACAGTCACACACACTGCAGTTCACCCCCAGCTTGGCAAGTGGAAGGCTGTGAGCTCTGGGCTGCCTCTGGCTTGACAGCCCAGAACTCATTCAAAGCCCTGAAATACAGGCACACTCCCCCGCACACACCACGCCACCCCCCAACCCCCCAACACACACACACACACACACACACGCACGCACGCACGCACGCACACTCACCCTCGCAGCCTCTCACACCGATCCGGGGCTGAGAACACCTAGCAGGCTCAGCAGCCAGAGCAGCACGAGGTTGCCATTCAGGAGGTTCGGGCGGCCTAAGCCCCAGAAACCCGCGCCCCACGCAACCATCCCCCGCGCGCGGCGCGGCAGCCGGAGGACCTCCCGCCGCCGGGGGTGGGGTTGGGGGAGGGGGTGGACGGGGCGGGGAGTGGGAGTGCAGGGGGTCACGCTACCTTTAGACTGGCAGTCCGCACAGAACTTGTTATCCTCCTCCAGCAGCAGGTTGGCCAGGACCGCCTGGTAGCGATCCACGTCCTTCACGGACTTGCCCGTCATGGCCAGGGTGCCGGCGGCCGGCGGGGGCAGAGGGCGGCGCGCCCTCCTCACCCCCAGAAACCTTGGCCTCGGTCAGGAGGGGAGGCTCCCGGTCCCCGGCCCAGGGGCACGTCCCGAGCGGGGCAGCACTCTCTCCGCCGCCCCGCGCCCTCCGCGCGTCAGCCGCGCCCGGCCCCGGCTCCGCAGCCCCTCGGCGCTGCGCCCCCTGGCGGGCTCGGCAAAGGCAGAGGAAGCTGCCGGACCCGGGGCCCTCGGCCCATTCAAGGGGGGCCCTCGAGCCTCCCGGGAGCGAGGCGCAGAGACGATTGCCTGACCTGCCCGTCAGCGAAGCGTTTCCCGGGCAGCTGCCGGCCGCGCCGCCGCCACCTCTGCCGTCTACTTCCGGCAGCTCTTCCTCCTCACTTCCACCCTTCCCAGCCCGCGCATGCGCCACGCCCCCGCCACTCGGGACTGGGCTCTTCCCCGGGCCCCGCCTCTCGAGAGCCAATCCGGGCAAAGCGGGGGGCGGGGCTTGGGTGGGGCGGAGGGAGGAGTGGACACGCCCCCCAGCGTGCCCTTGGAAGGGAATGAATGGAGCCAGGCAGAAAGACTCCCTTTGAAAGTAAAGAGAAACAGCAATCAACTTTCCCCCCCACGCCCAGCACCTCTTTCATTTAATAATAATAATAAAAAGTGGAGATCCTTTATGTCAAAAAAAACAAAACAAAAAAAACACACCCTTTGTCTAGCCGGCTTGGTTCAGTGGTTAAGCTCTGACCTATGAATTGGGAAGGCGCATGCCCAGGTTGCGGGCCCCATGCCCAGTGTGCAGCAGCCAATCAATGATTCTCTCTCACCACTGATGTTTCTATCTCTCTCTTCCTCTCTGAAATCAATAAAAATATATTTTTTAAAAACCCTAAAATATTCTCATAGCTGCCTCGGGAGTAGATCTTAATCTTTCCACAATGAGGTGATTTCATATTGCAGGCCGTTTGGACTAAACTCAGTCTGAGTCCATTATGCCGTTCCTCTGGCTCTTCTTCTGATTCTTCTCAGATGTTTTTGGAGACTTTGAGTGGCCCCTGTGTCTGTAACTGAGGAGCTCCAGGAGGTCTTGGACTCCTGCTCTGATGCCTCTCTCGGTAGGCAGTGAGGAGAAGTGCTCCTCCTCTTGGGAGACCTACTCCGCCTTCAGGGAGACCCGCTCCTATTTCTCCAGTAGCGCTGTGTGGGCAACAGGCCTAGTCATCGAAGCTTCTCCAGCGGTGATCGGTGATGGTACTACCCTCTGCAACTTCTCATCCTCTTCACGGGACTGGGCATCATCCATGTCCTCTCCTAGAGCGCTAACCCGAGGCTCCAATTGCTCGGCTTTCTCTAGCACAAAGCGTTTCTGTAGCCGGGAAAGAATGATGTCATAGACCCTCCCACAGTGCGGTAGTTCATCAATGAATTCATCTACTTGCATCAGCTCAAAATCCCCAGTTCAGTTCTGGCTCTTAATTTTCATATAGCCATTGTACAGACACTCCATGAACTCGTAGCAATCAGTTGCAGTGCCTGCCAGCCTCATGTAAAGTGCTCCCAACATGCGAATGTATTTGAGGCCTTCATTTTTTATAAACTCAACAATGATATTCTTCTCCAGTTGAATCTGCAGCAACTTCAAGGTCAAACACAGAAAGGGAGTTGACTTTATGTTGCCCCCATACACGCCACCCACAAACTTTAACTCTATGGCTTTATCAACTGCAAGTTCAGCCATCAACCCAAAGCACTCCTCTTTCCAATCCTTGGACTCATAGATTCCAGTCAGAATGATGTCCTCCCGCCGAAGCCGGTTTGGCTCAGTGGTAGAGCGTCGGTCTGCGGACTGAAAGGTCCTAGGTTTGATTCCGGTCAAGGGCAGGTACATTGGTTGTGGGCACATCCCCAGTAGGGGGTGTGCAAGAGGCAGCTGGTCAATGTTTCTCTCTCATCGATGTTTCTGACTCTCTATCCCTCTCTCTTCCTCTCTGTAAAAAATCAATAAAATATATTTAAAAAAGAAGAAGAAGAAGAATGATATCCTCCCCCAGATATTGAAGGTTGGTGAAGTGAATGCTGTGGGGATCCTTCACCCTGCGGTTCACCATTTTTTAAAAATATACGTACTTTATTGATTTTTTTTACAGAGAGGAAGGGAGAGGGATAGAGAGTTAGAAACATCAATGAGAGAGAAACATCAATCAGCCGCCTCCTGCACACCCCCTACTGGGAATGTGCCTGCAACCAAGGTACATGCCCTTGACCAGAATTGAACCTGGGACCCTTCAGTATCCACTGAGCCAAACCGGTTAGGGCTGGTTGGCCATTTTTAGAACTAGGCATTCATGGATGTGTCCTGACTGGGGATTACACAGCAATCTCGGCATATCTGAATGACGCTCTAAGCCACAGAGCTACCAGGCCTGGTTCAGATTGATTGATTGATTGATTGGTTGATTTGTAAGTTTCCTGGTCCCCATTTACCTCATCTTAAAGGCACATACTCTCACCCTCAACCCCCCCTCCCCCAGGTAAGTAATGTGAAATCGGCAACTGAGCTGCCACCAACGTTTCCCAGGCCCCTCTCCCCACAAGCTTGTTGTCTTTGTGCAGAGCCAGATTTCTCTTAAACCTTTATGTGGTTGAGTTTATCATTCATACATAGCAATGAACATTTACTGAGCACTTACTTTGTGCCAAGCACTATGCTAATCTCTTCACATGAATTATCATAATATAGTCCTCATATCGTTGTTAGATACATTCTTGTGCTCCATTATGCCCTGCTTGGAGTCCTCCCGGAGATTTTCCTGTTATTCTCATTATAGGTTTCATGATTAACAGCCTTCAGTTTCCAGTAAACTGCCTCATCCAGTTTCTAGTGGACTGCCTAGACCCGGCCCCCACCATACCTGGTCTGACCAGCTACTCTGACTGACCTTTACAAGAGACATAAGTATAGCCAGAACCGGTTTGGCTCAGTGGGTAGAGTGTCTGCCTGTGAACTGAGAGGTCTCAAGTTCGATTCCAGTCAAGGGCATGTACCTTGGTTGTGGGCATATCCCCAGTAGGGGGTGTACAGGAGGCAGCTGATCAATGTTTCTCTCTCATTGATGTTTTTAACTCTCTATCCCTCTCCCTTCCTCTCAGTGAAAAATCAATAAAATATATTTTTTAAAAACAATAACAATGAGGTACCATTTCACACTTGAAAACTATGGAAAACAGTATGGAGTTTCCTCAAAAAATTAAAAATGGAACTCCCATTTGACCCAGTGATCCCACTTTTAGGAATATAGCTCAAGAAATCAGAAACACCAATCAGAAAGGATATATTCACCCCTATGTTCACAGCAGCACAATTTACAATAGCTAAGATTTTGTAAACAGCCTAAGTGCCCGTCAGCAGATGAGTGGATTAGAAAACTGAGGTACATCTACTAGTACACAATGAAATACTAAGCTGCTGTAAAAAAGAAGGAATTCTTACCATTTGCAACAGCATGGATGGAACTGGAGAGCATTATGCTAAGCAAAATAAGCCAGTCAGAGAAAGATAAATATTACATTATCTCACTCATTTGTGGAATATAAGGAACAACATAAGCTGATGAACAAAAATAAAACCAGAGTCATAGAAGCATTGAACAGACTGTCCAACCTATGAGGGAAGACGGGGAGGAAGAGGTAAGAGATCAACCAAAGGACTTGTATGCATGCAGATGAGCAAAACCAATGGACACAGACAGGGGAATAGGGTGAGGGCATGTGCTGTGGGGTGGGGGCTGCCAGGGAGAGATCAATGGGGGGAAAAGGAGAAGTATGTAACCCTTTAAACAACAACTTTTTAAAAAATATATATATTTTATTGATTTTTTACAGAGAGGAAGGGAGAGGGATAGAGAGCTAGAAACGTTGATGAGAGAGAAACATCGACCAGCTGCCTCCTGCACACCCCCTACTGGGGATGTGCCCGCAACCAATGCACATGCCCTTTACTGGAATTGAACCCGGGACCTTTCAGTCCACAGACCGACGCTCTACCACTGAGCCAAACCGGTTTTGGCAACAAAGAACTTTTTTTTAAAAAAAGAAGGAACTTTCACCATTTGCCAACAGCATGGATGTACCTGGAGAGCATTATGCTAAGTGAAATAAGCTAGTTGGAGAAGGAGAAATATCACATGAACAACATAATCTGATAAACAAAAATAGAGTCAGAGAAAAAAATATTTTAGAACATAATAGAAATAATCCTGTTACTTGCAGATTTTTAATATTTCCTACAACTTGTGTGATATTATTCCATGTTAGTACAGCTTTGGTAATAGTATTATATTTAAACTCTTTTTTTCTTGAAATATTAATGTTTATTGCATATAACATTATTATATTTAAAATCATTTTTCTTGAAATACTAATGTTTCTTGCATGTAAGATTATTATATTAAAAAATTTTTTTCTGAAAAAAAAAAATATTTTTGAAGAGATTATGTGTGTGACTCATGGATCCCCTCAGCTATCTCAACAGAAGCCAAAAATAGAAATGGATTTATTTAGGAAAGATCATGAAAGAGCCTCTTATCTAATGGTGTGAATCCCTGAGACATACATGAGAGACCCACAAGGTTCTTGAGAATTTTATATCAGGAGGAACAGTGCCACTTGGATAGAAAAGGACAGAGAGAAATAAGTGAAGGCTGCAGGACGGACCCATAAAATTCTACCAACAGGATGAAAACAGGTGCTATACTTCATGAAAAAAGAGAAATGACTCCAAGGACAGAGCCACAGAACATTAGTGTCCCCAGGCCTTGAAACCTAATGGAGTTGGTCCAATTTAATCTTTAAAGCACTTGGGACCAATGAGCTTATATTAAATCTCATCTAGTGCCTAATATAGATGAGTCAGATGATGATATTTAGGCCTTTTGAACTGGTGGGATTTTTTTTTAAGTATTTTTTTAAAAATAATTTTATTTTACTTTTTAAAATATATTTTATTGATTTTTTTTTTTTTTTACAGAAAAGAGAGATAGAAAGTTAGAAACATCGATGAGAGAGAATCATCAATTAGCTGCCTCCTACACACACATACACACACCCCATCCTGGGGATGTACCCGCAACCAAGGTCATGCCCTTGACCAGAATCAAATCCGGGACCTTTCAGTCCGCAGGCCGACACTCTATCCACTGAACCAAACTGGTTTCGGCTAAAAGTATTTTTTATTGATTTCAGAGAGGAAGAGATAGAAACATCAATGAGGAGAGAGGGACTCATTGATTGGCTGCTTCCTACATGCCCCCTACTGGGGATTGAGCCCACAACCAGAGCATGTGCCCTGGTTCATAGGTTGGTGATCAAACAT